AGAGAGAGAGAGAGAGAGAGAGAGAGAGAGAGAGAGAGAGAGAGAGAGAGAGAGAGAGAGAGAGAGAGAGTACTCCAAGTATAGAGTGGTATGTAGGAACAGACAACCAGAGACAAAGAGACAGAAAGGGAGAGGAGAGAGGGCTACAGCAAAGAGGCCATGAGATCATGTGCTGGTCTCGTTGCCAACGGAAAGCCGGTGGGATTTTAGGCCTGCTTCAGAAGATTGACATAGCTCTCTGTAAGTTCAGGGATCCAGATCTAGGACTTGCGCCCGAGGAACGATTTTCAGAACAAGGGGTATCTGGTCCAATTCTTTGTTGAGGTTCTTTCGAATTTTGCAGAGCGTCGTGATGCAGTTCAGGAAACCGACTGCAGAGTCGTGCAGACCTTGGGCCTTGCTGCAATATACTACATTCGAAATGTACCTGGGCTGTTCGGGAGACAGATACATCCAATCTGGCAGAAAATTGTGAATGCACCAGGACTCACCTTGGAACCAAATACATTAGTACGCTTGTCTACTGGACCAAGGTCCCATTTTGGCCAGTTTCTGAAATTGTAATCGAGGTATGACCTATATTAAGCAAGTGGAGGGTTTCATTCACGTTTCCTCTTTCCTGGGGTCGAGGAAGAATCGCTATCCGATGCCATGGGATGACGGGCTGCAGGATGGGTTGGTGGGAAGCGATGTGCAGCATCATGTTGGTGGGATGCGATGCGATGCCATGATGTGGTTCAGGACGGATTGGTGGGAAGCGATGTGCAACATCGGGAGGAGTGTGGTGGCACCTCCCGCTGAGGAGGTCGTGCCTGGCATGCAGCTAAAGCATGGCGAAGATTGCGAGTGGATGGTGAAGAGCCGCACAGCATCGTGTTCGGGTTCAGCGACCGAACCCGAACGTTCGCGACCGAATGCGAACGAGCGCGACCGCATGCAGCTAAAGCGCAGCGAAGATTGCCAGTGGATGGTGAAGAGCTGCACAGTGATGTTTTGTTTTGAAGCACTCTTAGGAGCTGCACAGCGTCGTGTTCGGGTTCAGCGACCGAACCCGAACGTTCGCGACCGAATGCGAACGTTCACGACCGAATGCGAACGAGCGCGACCGAATGCGAACGAGCGCCAAAACCCTCCGAACACGACCATACAAAAATCTATGTAATGTAAAATAAAATACAAAAAACTTTTGCCTGGGAGGAGGCATGTTCAAATTCTTAGCCAAACACGAGTAAAAAATCAAAAAAACGAAAAAAAAAGAGTAGTTTTGCCGGACATGTTCGGGATGCGTTCGGCCGAACACCCGAGAACTCCGATCACGTTCGGTGTGCTACACAGCTTATGAGCGCTTGGTTGCTTCGGCTTGGCTTGAACCTTTTGAGGAATTTTCGAATTTGGCAATTTGCCCTTTTGCTAGCTTTCCACCCCGGGCGCACGGGGTACCCCACCATGCCCGGAATGGCGCCCGGGGCGCCCGCCCGGGCAACCCCCCCGAGCAGGCACCTGGACGCCTCTCGCACCAAGGCAGAAAAAGCCAAAGAAAAAAAAATCTTGCCGCAGCCCTATTCCAAACCTGCCAACTTTGTCTTCAGCGGTCGGCGCATTATTTTGGGGGGTCCGGTAGGTACCGTTTTGTAGGTTTTTAATTTTTTGGGGGATTCTGGTCGTCAATCTGCATAGATCGACGGTGCACGCTGATATAGGATTCAAATTCTCCTGCACCCCCYCCCCCCCCCCCCCGACCCACAGAAATCAACATACGCGAAAATAAAAAAAGAGGCCGGATTTGGGCATTACTCCCAAATCGCAGCAAGGTCTGGTGGTTGGGAAAAAAAAAAAAAAACTTGGTGGTTTCTTTGCATGCCCGGGGTACCCCGCCCGGCATGCCCGGCCAGGCGCCCCAGGAAAGCTAGCCCTTTTGTCAATTTTGTCGTATTTTTTACGAAGCTATAACCCGAGTGTGTGCTTTCCTTTTGCTGAAAAAAAAAGCAAAAAAAATAAATAAAAAAAAAAATGAAAGAAAAAGAGGGCTTCGCAGTCTATGGTGATTGCGTGCGTAGCTGTCCACTGTAGAGGGAAAAACAGAAGTCAGCAATGGCATGAAAATGACATGTGAGCTGATGACAGTTCACTTATTAATAGGATCCGAAACGGGAATGGACATGTGACTGAAAACGGGACCGGGCACGGAAATGGGAAAAGCAACTGGGAAAGGAACTGGGACTGGGCAACTGAGACTGGAAATGGGACTGGGAATGGGACTGGGAATTGAAATGGGACTGGGACTGGGACTGGGACTGGGAATGACAATGGAACAAGCAACAATCTGAATATCATCAATATCACCTTCGTCAACAAGAGTCCTTTTTCCTCCAAGACTTCCATCAAGTCCTGAGTGCTCTGCTGAAGCAGATCCGCAATGTTCTTCAGGGTTGGCTGTGCAATCTCCCGCCGCGTTCCAATGCCAGATGGGCCCTCCATTCTCGTCTGTAGTTACCAGAATAACCACAGTCACCAGAATTACCACAGTTACCCGTCTGTAGTTACCAGAATAACCACAGTCACCATAATTACCACAGTTACCAGAATAACCCGAATTTACCAGAATAACCGCAGTTACCAGAATAACCACAGTTACCAGAATAACCACAGTTACCAGAAAAAAACACAATTACCAGAGCAACCAGGGGATGAAAAGTTAACAAAACACAGTTGCCAGAATAACCACAGTCACCAGAATTACCACAGTTACCAGAATTACCACAGTTACTGAGTTACCAGAATAACTGCAATTTAGTTGAATTTACCAGAATAACTACAGTTACCAGAAAAACCACAATTACCAGAGCAACCAGGCGATGAAAAATTAACAAAACAATCTAACAAAAACCGTGATTTTTCCTTCTCCTTCTTCCTTTTTTCCCCCTTTCAAAGCCTGTAAAGACAGCTAGAGTGTGTAGAGCGGCCGCAAAGAAAGCGCTCACAGAGCGAGCAAGAAAAAGCCTGCATGCAAGAAGGGCGAGTAAGTGTAAACATGTGTGTGTGTGTGTGTTTTTAAAAAAAGCCCAAATTCTCTTCTCTCATTCCCTCCACAAATCATAACAAACGATACTAGAATGCTAATATAATAGAAAATGCAAGGTTGGCCACGTTTGTGTGGTTCAGCGCCAAGTGTTTGATTGCCCACAACCCGCCTGCCGCCGAAGCAGCACACTTGCACATATAAATATATAAATACATGTATTTATTTCATAGTTCATAAAAGGGTGGAGGGCAAAAGGCAACTTACCTAAGACAGAGGACAGAAGGGCGAGTAATACTAAATACGTGTGTGTGTGTGTGTGTGTGTGTGTGTGTGTGTGTGTGTGTG